CAAGATCCAGGAGGCTGTGCTTCCTCTGCTTCTGATTGCCAAAGTAAATATTTTAATCAGAATTTTGAGTGGCACCTTTATTGTTGAGATGAAAAAAAAGTTGTGTGGTATCTATATCTATAGGTGTCTGCTTTTATGCTATGTCTTTCCAACTATTTTTCTTCCTAGGTAAATTTACTTTGATCATTGCGTCGACAGATACTTGATGGCATACATGAGTATGTAACTATTGACAATGCATAGCTATTGAGTAATTCCTCACATGCATCCAATGCCTATAGATGATATTTGCTCTGTCATGTTGTCAGAAGGATGAAGGACTGTTTTACAGTAAAATAAGGTGTAGATACCTGTATTGATATTATCAATGAGGTAAGAGTTAGATATCATGGTTTGTGGTACAGGAAGGTTTATCACTATCATTGAAGATTCTATAGCTTCAATTATTGTCGCAGTGTGAGTCTGTCTTGTGTCATCATTGATAAAAAAGCAGAATTAGTTTGGAACACGGGCTACAGACTAGAGTATATTGAATATATGCTGTGTTGATAAAATAATTCCATCCAAACATGATCATTTCCTCATCAGTGTCCCTCAACATGCACTCTTTATCAAAACAACTACCTATATATTTTATATTATGATTATATTGTGCTTATACTACTTAACTCACAATTTTGTGCACCCTTTGAGCCGCTATTGAGAAACTCAAAACTAAAGTTTATAAGCTTAGTTATGTTGACCTCCTCCAGTAGGTTGTGTTTTGAACTCTGGTGCATCTCCCTAGATGCTGGAGTGGCATGAGACTGTCACGTGATGTGAAGTTGAAATATTGACTTTTCATGAAAATTGTCTTTTGTTCTTAACTTCCACTATTGTAGGTTCTGCACCTTCATGGGCATCACACTGGCGCTGTCAGTGGCCTCTAAGTTTGAACCATTATTGTATCTCCATTGCTTGTTGGTTCTGCACCTTCATGGATGTAACACTGATGCTGTCAGTGGTCATCCAAGTTTGGATGATCCTTGTCTGTCTGGGCCACACTGGTGTTGGGTATCCTGTTTCTTGCTGGTTCTGCACCTTCATGGGTGTCACACTGGTACTGTCAGTGGCCTTCAAGTTTGAATGATTCTTCCTTGTCTGTTTTTGCCGTGCTGCTGTTGGATATCCTGTTTATTACTGGTTCTGCGCCTTCATGGGCATCACACTGGCGTGGTCAGTGGCCTTAAAGCTTGCATGATCATTTCTTATCCATTGGGACCCCCCCTAGGCTGTGGTATTGTCTCTGTTATTTGTTGGCTCTTGTCATATCCCGTATTCCGGACCTACATCCGATAATATTCCCACGCCTCATCCGGACCTTCGGATGTCCTATCCATGTCTCCAGTCCTCTACCCATCCAGATCCCTGCACCTCTGCACATCCACATCCGCACGTCCACATCCAGATCCCTTTTCCTTCGCAGCTAGCCTGCATCATTCATTCTTGTCCCGTTGCCCTAATGCCACATCCTATATATCCACGCATCTCGTCTGGACCATATCCGATCCGGTCTGATCCGATGTATAGATCTGTTTCCTATCCGATATACGATAAGCTTCATAATTCATTTCCTGTGCATATAACATTAACACAGCCTATCCAGTATTCCTTGTTACCGGTACCTCAGTTATATCTATTACCGGTATGCTTACTGATCTGTTAACCTATGTTCATTTACGACTCGCATTTGTCAACCTTTGACTGCTTTTCACCTTTGAGTTACCATGATATATTTCATGGAATTTTAGCACTATTTGGCTGCCAAACCCTCCCCCACCATTTGAAGATGTAATGTCCAGCAGCATAATTTTGTATGATATCTGTCTCTGTGAGTGTGTTACATGATTTATATGATCATATGTCCTTTCAACCATAAACCTGGCCTGCTTATCACAAAGAGGTCTCTACTGATATTGTAGGGAGATTCTCACTACCACTGTCAGAATCACCTTCTCAATAACTTTCAGAATTGGTTTCAACATCAGTTTCAACAGAGCCTTCAACATCACCTTCAACCTCACTCTGAGCATCGACTTCAATACAGATCTTGCAATCTTCATATTCAGTGACTCCCATGATAAACATGGATGATAAGTAACAATGCCCCACTAATAAAATTTCCTAGAATAAGCTACAGGTGATAGATACGAGGAATCACTCACTATTCTGAGCTTCTGGACGTCTAAGCCATTCCTCAAGTAAATCCCACAGTAACATGTTGCTGCACCCTATCCCACACCACCTGTGCACTCCAATACAATTCTTTTATATTGTATTCCAGATACTTCCAGGCAAGATTCAATGTCTTTGTGTGAGTCTACGACCCAAAAGGCTCTTGTGAGACATGAGCTAATGAATGAAACACATCCAAGCCTTGATCCAGCTGTTTTGTGAATTCAGCATGCTTTGGATGCAGGCAAAGACATTTCAGAAATTCCTCCATTTTCTCTTGCTCAGAGAGGTCTATCTTTTGATACAACAATCATTCAATGCTTCCATGTATTTCATTAATACAAAACAGTATTTTCATTATTTTCTCTCCCACTGCTTGGTCTGCTATAAATCACTCAAAGCGATGAAGGTACAACAATTCAGATGGTGAGTCTGAACAATGTTAGGTCTTGCAGAACCTAGCTGCTATTCGACCCTAAAGGGTTTCTGGACTAGGCTTAAGGCTCAGAGGAGAGGAAATATCATAGAAAACTACTGAGCACTCAGACTCATACTGGTAACTGGTGAAAAGATTGATTGATTATGTAAGCTACAAAAGTGCCAACATAAGGTAAGGTAAAAACAGTCTCTACAAGCCCAACCAGAAATGAATCCCTACAGCGAGCACACATTTCTCACTCCACTAAAATAATGATGCTGTTTGTGCTTGAAGGCTGGTTCAACAATAGAACACCTCATAATGTCAAGGCCTCTTCTTCCAAACACTGAGAAAGTAAGTATGACTGAGATTGATTGATGTGCTGCTGAAAACATTTAGTATTGCAGGCTTACAATCTTGCTGTTTCATTGGTGAGTCAAATGGTATATGTAAAGAGTCCATTATAACCTTGCATTTATCTTTCACATTGGAATGTAGTTGGTATGTTTTATGTAGTTGAATGCAGTATACATGCCTAATGAATCACATGCATGTATTGTGCTGTGTGCAACCACATATCACGCTTCATTGTAATAGACCTTGCTCCTCAAGATAATTTGACTGAGATAGATGCAGGGCTACGAACTTGTCCCTCATTTGGTTACGCCATACTGGCCGGGCATTGCCGATGCAGAAGTTTCAAATTTTGCAAATGCAAATATCATTAATTGCCTGCATTGTTATCTTCAATGACTACTATGTCTCACGCAATCTAACTTATGCCTGCTGCTATCCCACCTGAGCTCCAGCAAATGATTTTGACTCTTGCAACTTGTATACAATCCACCATTGCTGAATATCTGACAGTATCATCACGAATATATCCATTGTGAGTTTGTTATGCTATAATACATAGATAGACTCTGACTGATTCAACACTGTGGTAGCATGGAACAATTGATGTACAAAAACATTATCCTTGTTGATGAAAAGAATGTCAGGCGATTCTTGGAATGTGTCTATCAGCATCTCATACATGTTGAATTTGCACAACAATCAGTCACATCCTCTTTTTAGTCAGCTACAATGTATTAATTGAATTTCATTGGTAATAACCATTATTACAGGTCATTGTCCCCTATATTCTCCTGTCATATCTAAGTACCCCCCATAGACATTGTGTTTCCATCTTCAATTACCATATTGTCAATTGATACTCACTGAGAGAAGTGACAATGGGTAAAGCTAAGATGAATTGTCAAATTAATTGGTTTAGATGCTGTGAAAGAAGTCATGAAACATATATGAGAACATCAGAGACTGTTCTCTTCACAGCATTTGCATGGCAGCTGTGCAATCCTATTAATGTCTGTTTTGAGTTACTGACATAATCTTTAACACAATGGCACTAATTATAGAATCTTCTATCTTAACCTTTAACCACCATGTCTGATATCTTCACCCTGTACTGTTGGATATGAGGGACTGAAATAGACCAACATTTCAGTTTAAGAATTTCTCACTTTGACACTGCTGATGCCCTGAAAATAATATTGCAGCAAACTCAGTATTTCAATGTTCCAGCTTCAGCTCTTCAAATTTACAAACCAAGTGACCCTATGTCTGAGCCATATGAGGAGACCCTTTGCAGTGTTGTCCTATCCAAGCTTGGTAATCTGTCACCACCATCACGAAAGCTATCAAAAGTGTTCGAAGTAGAACCCCCCTAGGAGCATATGTATATCATTGTCTCCTGATAACTTATTGTTGTGTTCTCTAGATGCACCAACACTTGTGATTCATTGTTGGCTACAGGGTAGCACTGGGAAGGATCAATTTGACATTTTGATTAGGTCAAATGCATCAATAGAATTACTGAAAGATCTCATGAAGTAAACAGAATCACAACTTCAAAACATAGACCAAAGTCACATACACATATACAGAATATCCCCATCCGAGGATGACCTCCAAGAGAGTCTTGATACCCTTAATGCTGGTCACTTGCTCGAGGTGACACAGTCAAAACCAATATCCAATTATTTCCTGGCTGTATCAGTTCTTGAGCATCTCCACATTCTTGTCTAAGTATACTCTGATATGAATAGTGAGTTAATTGTATCATTGCATGGACTCACACTAATATATGGCTGGAAGGATCAACAAATCCTCCTTGGTGCGCAAAACACATCATCAAAGGAGAGGACCCAATCAAAATAGCATGGAAATCCTTCCTGGACAATATGGACAACTATTCCAGAAAGAAGACATCGAAGTTGAAATTGAAAGATCACACTTGCCTTCTAATGCATAACATTCCTTATTCTTTCATGAAAGACAGCTGGATAAAAAGTTACAAATACTCTATGGTCATCCTCGCAAGCTCAAGGAAACTATCCCTGCTACACTGCTGCATCCAGCCTTTGGTCAATTTATCAATGACAGCCAGACTCACACAACAACTGAAGATGACAACAATATCGTCCATGAACTCGCAAATGTGATGTTGGCATTTTATAAAGATGAAAAAAGCGAGTGGAAGCAGTCAGTGACATGCTTGTAAGGTACCAACTTGGTTTCATCTGAATAGCAAAGTGCAAGACACTGCATATGCGATGGACGCAGATATGTTCATCGACATTCATAACCATCATCATCTATTTGTTATTGCTAAATTCAAGAACAAAGCTGCAACCTCCAATTCAGAACCATATCTCCAGGCTCTCTCATACTACCTGGAGTCAATAAGAACCTATGCACCTAGGATGTCTGAGTCTGCTTTACCATGTTTGCTGCTGATACATTTTGGTCAGTGCTGATATTTGCACTGACTTACAACATTACATGAACACAACTAATTTCTATGCATGCTATGGCTATATATTATATATAACATCACACATTTTGGCCATTCTGACTATCTCATATCATGGAACATATCACTGGAAGGAAATTAGTGGTCAGGAACATGAGTTATGAACATTTTACTACTGACTATGTCTTGCTACCAAATATCTATATTGAGATGTTATAACCCTATTAGGACAGGCTAGAATCTTATTAGTATGGCTCTATATGTATCATAGTCATGTAACTACATGATCTTGAACCAATTTTGCAATATCTTTGGCCAACATGAGTGGATGTAGGGGGAGGAGAAGACATATAGCATCACAAAAAATTATTGGCAATCTAAAACTGACCCTATCATCTTCTGTGACCTTTAAAATGGTGGGGAGAAAGTTGTTTGGGTATTTGCTCATGTTTATGACCTCTGGTGTCCAACCACCCCTGACCACCAGGTACACTAAGCCCACCACCTCACAAAATATTCCTGGTGTCTCAAGACTTAGTTCATCATCTTCTATGGCCTTTAAAAAGGTAGAGAGAAACTTGTTTGGGTATTTACTGATATTTGTGACCTCTGATGTCCGACTACTCCAAACCTCCAAGTGCATCAAGCCCACCACCTCATGAAAAATTCCTGTCCTTTTGAAACTTGGTTCATCATTTTTTGTGGCCTTTAAAATAGTGGGGAGAAACTTGCTTTTATGTTTCCTTCAGTGTAGGACCTCCAGAGCCAGACCACCCCCTGACCTCCAGATGCATCAAGCCCACAGTCTCACAAAAAGTTCCTGATCCTTCAAAACTTTGTCCATCATCTTCTGTGGCCTTCAAAATAGTGTGGAGAAAGTTGCTTGAGTATTTGCTGATGTTTGTGACCTTGGTCCTTCTAAACTTGGTTCATTATCTTGAGAAACATTTAAAATGTTGGGGAGATGTTTTTTTGGATGTGTGTTGATGCACCCCCTATTTTTTACCAGACCAACTTTCTGTTTTCTTTTATACTTTCCCTATGAAGCCTACTTGGATTTACAGTGGCTCAAAAAAGTGTCTCAATGTTTGTAACATTTCATGTAATTGCTTTATTATGAGCCAGGGTGTGGGAATATGACTAAACTATAGGAAGGTGTCATAAAGCTATACTTCTTAGCCTCATTTAAGTTCCCTATAGTGTGGGAAGCTGATGTCATCATGTGCAGATATGGCTATTTTAATTTGGTGACTCATTGAGACACTTTTTTGACTTTTAGTTTGACCAACACAATCTCAATAATTATGATACTTTATGTGACCTTCTGTTGCTCTAATCACTTCTGCCACTCTTCTAGACATGCTATCTATCAATTTTGAATATTTCTTCTTAGCACTTCTTTCTCACTCTGCTGCAACTCTGTCCTATAGCTGAAATAGCCCCTATGACGAATTTTGATAGGCTACAAGCAATTTCTTGAATATTTTTCAGAGATATTCAATAGGGCTGATGTATAGGGACTATGCTAGACATGATAGAACATTGAGATCATGGTATTTGAGCTGCTAGTGACTAAATTGAAAGCTTACCTCACATGAATGAAAATCTCACATTTACCATATTCTAACTGGGCAGGCTGCTAATGCTACTCAGGCCACCTAATTCATCAATTCCATTATCTCCAGCTTTATTTCCACTCAAACCATCAATAATACTTGCAAGGCAACAAATATTAAAGCTATAATTAAGAAGAAGAGGACTCTCCTATCCCTAGCCTATAGAAAGAGAAAGTAAACTTTAGCTTTAAAGCACCAGTACTAGACTGGAAGAGGACTGGAAGAGGACCATATTATAAGATCAGACCAAGATAAATATGATGAGGTCAGATGGCTGGGAATACATCTGTTAAAAGACAGGTGAACCACTAAAAGAAAAAAAATTGTATAAACTCTTAAGTGTGGAGTAACAAACATAGAGGTATAGGACTGTATGAGATGTAATAGAGTGTATATTCTCTGTGTGAAGTAAAGTGAAGGACCAATACCAAGTGGTACATCTCTATTTTCGATGAGAGTCTGCTAAGAAGGTACTATGTTGCAATAAAATAATGATCCTAAATATATGTCTAAATTGGTCACTAGCAGCTCAAATACCATGATCTCAATGTTCTATCATGTCTAGCATAGTCCCTATACATCAGCCCTATTGAATATCTCTGAAAAATATTCAAGAAATTGCTTGTAGCCTATCAAAATTCGTCATAGGGGCTATTTCAGCTATAGGACAGAGTTGCAGCAGAGTGAGAAAGAAGTGCTAAGAAGAAATATTCAAAATTGATAGATAGCATGTCTAGAAGAGTGGCAGAAGTGATTAGAGCAACAGAAGGTCACATAAAGTATCATAATTATTGAGATTGTGTTGGTCAAACTAAAAGTCAAAAAAGTGTCTCAATGAGTCACCAAATTAAAATAGCCATATCTGCACATGATGACATCAGCTTCCCACACTATAGGGAACTTAAATGAGGCTAAGAAGTATAGCTTTATGACACCTTCCTATAGTTTAGTCATATTCCCACACCCTGGCTCATAATAAAGCAATTACATGAAATGTTACAAACATTGAGACACTTTTTTGAGCCACTGTAACATATTCTACCTGGCTGTGTTTTTAGTCTTTGGAAATTAAGGTTATGTACTCAGGTAAGAGGGACAAAGTTGTTTGAGGGTTTGCTGATGTTTGTAACCTTGGATGTCAGATCACCCCTGACCTCCAGGTGCACTAAGCTTACTGTCTCATAAAAACTTTATGGTGTCTCAAAAATTGGTCCATCATCTTCTATACCCTTGAAAATAGTGGGAAACAAAACTTCCTGATGTTGCAAAATTGTCATCTTAAAAATAGTAGGGAAAAACTTGTTTGGGTGTTTTCTCTGGCACAAGACCTCTGGTGTCAGGCTGTCCTCTGACCAGCTCATTACCTCAAAACTTGCTCCATCATCTTCAGTAACCCTCTAAAATGATGGGGAGAAACTTGCTTGGGAATGCATCTAGCTTATTGCCTCATAGGCCCTTTGGTCCCCCATATTTTATGACCTTAACAATGAATGATTTGGTATATTCTATACTCAGGTCCTTTAAGGATTCCACAGTTCCATTATCCTGACACTTGATTTATTGTGTTCAGAAAGATCAAACTTTGATTAGACTACTACATTCAACAATATTGCTGATCTAATTGCTTATGGTACTTACTTATTTTGGATAAGATCTGATACAAATCTCATATGCATTTTTAGTCACATCCACCATAAGCTTGTCCGTCTTAGATATAATCTTTACCTTCAGAGATGTATCATATCTTCAAGATACCTGATATAATTTTTATAATCTTGCAGATGGTCCATACCGCCATTTCCACAGAAAATTCTGGTAGACTTGGTGCTTTTTCTGGCCACTCCTAATTCATGCCCAGACTTACCAGGGAACAATGCATCTTCACCAGTGGCTTCCAACCACCTATAAGAATCTGTTGTATCTATATTCACTCCTCCAGGCACACTGCTTCTACCAAAGAATAATCTGCAGATGTCTGCTATCTCTTCTCCTTCATGTTCCAGGATGGAGCTTAAATGGTCTTTACAAATTCCATCACCCTCTATGTCCAGTCCTGATGAATCTGCTCAAATACCTTCAATCACTAGCAAAACATCTAAAGGCACTTTGGTTTTTAGCAAGAGTCATGATACCAAGTTTTTCTATGATTCAGTCACATTCATATCCACTATACCCAGATCCACAGTCAAATCCAAATCCAAATTCAGTTCAAAGGTACCTGTGAGTATTCTTTCTTATTGCAGCATCTGGTGTAGTATAGATAGTAATTGATGTATTCTAACCCACCTTCTCAGATACAGGCCCCACTTGACCAGAATAACAAGAGTTGAATGTTGAACAAGGGCAAGGAAAAGGCAAAGGCGACACATTCAAAAGAGTTTCAAAAATCTGATCTGCAGGAGAGAGCAAAGAGCAAGGACGAGAGAAATATGAAGATCTCAGATGAATCCCCAATGCTTCATCCTGGTCCTAGTACCAGGTCCAGAATCACTGAGATGCTGCTTGCAAACATGTCAAAAGTGGCTAAATGTTGTCAGATTACTCAGGAATCTGAGAATCAGATATGAAGTAACAGGGTGGGTTCTTATTCTCTCATTTCATCAAGTTCTGATTGTAATAATGTTTTGCTATTATAGTTTCTTACATTCTTTGGGTACCTTGGGCGTGATTGGGCCCAATTACCTGTACTTCAAAATGATATAAGATTACAGGTTGGCAAGGTCATAATCTCTAGAGATGTTAAGGTATGTCTCATCTATGATGTAGCTGTTGCTGTAGATCTGATTGTATTGAATGATCGGCAGAAGCAGATCAAGAATGGCATGCATGTGATAGTTAAGTATGTCTATTGGATGAAAAAATAGAGGAAAGCAGTCAAACTTCAAGAACAGCTTAAAGTTGGTTTTAAAGTTCTATTTGAAATTTTACAAATGAGGGCTTAGTCTATGGTCTGATATATATTGGATTGTTGAATTCTCTGTACTTTACTATTCACAGCCAATATCTTGGGCAGATAGGACATTGGTAATAGATAGTATGGGTCAATTATTGTGTGGGTACAATCCATCTGGTGTCAATCTGATTCATATGCATAGCTCAGTCTATAGGCAGACAATGGCCTTGGCCTACTGACTGTGCTACTCATGTGCCTGATATATTGTCCATCCATTCCCAGATACCCCAGCTGTAATTCCACATTCAATAGGACAGCAAATGAGTACTTTAAAAAGTTCATCCACTAAGTGGTCAGCATGAACTTAAGTTTCTGGAAGATGACATTCAATAGAGTGTGTTGGCGACAGAACTTTGAAACATCTTGTATGATACCAGTAGTTGTAATTCAGACAAAAATTTTGGATCTCCTTGTCGGGACTGAAAGGCTTATTGCATGCAAAAATACAAGAGATGTAGATTAAATCATACTATAATCAGATGTTAGTCAATTATGTTCCTGACCTCTTGGAGCCTGAAGTATGGGTGGTGAAGAGCTTACAAACCAGTGTGTGTGAAATTCATTTGAACACCAAGGCTTTTGTACTCTAGACATGTCATCGAACTTGACTACCTAAATGGAGTCTTGAAGTTTAATAACAAATCTTGGTTGGTCACACAGATCTACAAAAGCTATGGATTGTTCTCACCAGCTAATACTTTGGCTTCTGCCCAAATAGACAAATCTGACTCCAACAGTTCTTGGTGTTCCATGCACAATAATCTGAAGTCCAACTGAGAAACCTTTTTGAAAAGTGGCTCTTCAAATTCTGCCCTCCAATACCAATGAATCTTAACCCAGAAATGTTATAAAGAAAGAGCTGATTGTGAAATTATAATATGCTAGCTGTCAATGGATGCAAACCTCTGAAGCCTTTGCACGCTTGTCTACATAGATACATTCAATGACCACATACCATAAATCATTAGGATCCACTCTCTTACATCTTTTTTTGGAAGCATACACTGAAATAATATGTGCAACATAACTCAGATGAATTAGACCTGCACATGAATTCATGCTAAGCATGCTTCTAGAAGAAATACATCTTTGTCCAACTTTGTATTTGATTTTATTCTTCCCTTCTTCATCTGAATCAAGGTAATAAACTAGTCTTTTTTCTCTGGATCAGAATAAAGTGCAGCAACTAACTCACGGATTGTATGTGTAGTTGGTAAGTTATTGAATTTCTTTAGGGACATGCCCTTTGGCAGCTCTGGTACTATGCCATATCAAAATCAATCTCTAAAAGCCCAACTTAACTGTGCACCAATTCTATGCTCTCTTATCCTATAAAAAGTAACTGACTGCTAAGTAATCTTGAACTTTTAATATCCAGCAAAATTGTTGATCAATCTTCAGTGTCCACTGCATATATTTCACCACGGAGTCACATATATATCTAAATCTCAACTATATTCACCCCAGCATACTTCAGAAAGCTAGATATGTAGCTATCTTCAGATTCTGACTTGCATGGCAGCTCTGATCATACAAATCATGGAATATACAGATCACCATCAACTTCCCCTTTACCCACATGCATAACAGAGACCTCTGAGAATGGCTTGAACTTTGGCACCTTTCAGATTGATGGATATCCTACAGCCAACTTGGGTGTCATTCAATGCTGGTATACCAGAAGGCCCACTGTCAGAGTCAGATCAAGGTCATGCTGATGATTATCACCCTGAAAGTTTAGAGAAATGTGGTCCAGCATGGACCAGATCTCATTTGGCTGATAATTCATTTGCAACTTCTGAGTCCCGAGATGACAACACATTATTGAGTTTTTATTTGCATAAGTTAGATTTCCATCAATCCAAGTCTATCAACTACTCCAAACTTATAAACCCATCATTCTCCATGTGAGGGCATCTAACCAATTCTTACTGGGCATCAATAATGGCTCATGTTCTGCTTACCACTCAGGCCTCAGGCCTATGATACATATTACAGTAATCAGGCACTGGTAGAGCAGACATTGGTTTCCAACCAGAATTTGCACTGCTACCTACTGTTACACTGTATGGGTAAATTCTGAGAGACATCTACCAAGATCAATGACTTCTCCCATGTTCTCAAATGAAGTGAGATTTTTCAGCATAGCAGGCAAATCCTGTGGACAAATGTCCAGGTGTTGTAGAATCTTTGTAACAACTGCACAGGCATGGGTGTAGCTAGATGATTGTAAGGCTAGGGGTTGGTTTTTCTTGCAGAATGTTGTTACTAAGCTCTGTCCTGTATATTTTCTGGGCTTGAGAACTATATAACAAAGCACTAATAGTAGTTAGGCATACAAGCCTTTTCAATTAAGAGATTTAATGGCAGTGAGTAAGTGTTATTGGATACACTTGCCTAACAGTTTGTCTGCCAAGCACTTGACACTCGGGCGCAACAACAAGGTTGTCATTGATCTGCCAGTCTCTGCAAGGCGAGACTGGCAGAAAGGTTACCTCCTCTGTGCGGCATTTCAAAGTCAGGTCAGCATCTTCAAGAATACCACAGCGAAGCAGGCCGAGCTGGTCTTGATGCAGACAGTGGCAACCTCAACCTCCACCACTGCCACCATGACTGCTCCCACCACCACAACTGCCACCGCAACCTCAATGGAATGCACACCTGTCTCAGGTGAGAGAGAAGGCGCCAATCAGGAGCAGGAGACCCAGCAGGAGGTGGAGGAGGAGTCTGAGAAGATTAATGAATGAGAGGATCCTGAAGAAACACAGGCACCACCTATTGAAAAGTCGGGTCTGGTGGGACGCAAGGTAAGTGATGTGTCTTCTGAGCGGCTGACATTCTAACCCTCCACCTACAGAAATGTACCCCGTGCATAAGTGCTGAGAAGCTACTCAACCCTGTATCTTGCACGACATGCACGACAATGCAACACCTGTGCCACAACTGGTCTAAGGGCCAGTTGTGCTACGAGTGGCACCGTGGGAAGGTGAAGTGCTCTCTGGTACAAAGTAAGTATTTATCTTATCTGTATGACTTAATCAGCACTGACTTTAGAATCAGACAAGAGGAAGAAGAAGACCGCAGCACCCCCACCAGTGCTAGCTCCCAAGCCTAAACCTAGCCCGAAGCTAGTTGCTCCGACTTCCCATCCTGTCCGGACCTCCTCAAAGGCCACACAAGTGCCAGGCCTGGCTGCCAGGACACAAAGTAAGTCCAGCGAGCTGCCCACTGTCGCACCAGCACAACCATGGGTGGTGCCAGGCCCCTTGTGCATCCAAAACAATGCCTATGTAGAGCTCTGGATGAGCACCAAGCAGAAGGTGGCTGTTATTGAGGAGGAAGAGAGCAAGAGCGAGGATGGTGAGGAGGACACATACCTGGCCGGTAGGGTGTCAGGCCTCTCCAACATCCCGCAGATAATAGAGATGACCTGCACCACTACAAGGAAAAAGATGGAGGAGATTGATGGGCGGGTTACAAAGTGCCGCCGCCTCTAAACAGGACACTTACTTTTAATGTATAATTCAAAACATCATGATTGTAGTTTGTACTTGTACTTGTAGTTTACTTGGTTTCCTTACTGTAGATGGTACACATGGAATAGCATGTGGCCATCATGGGTTGGGTTGGTAGGAATTTCTGTGTGAGGTGTGTCTCTCAAAGGATGTTAAACCTATGATTGATGTTGTACAGTCGAGGTCTCTGGATGACTTATTTACTTCAAGTGTGCGGCTTGCATGTGTAATGGGAAGGGTGTCTATTGGCCTTGTCAAATGACTCCCATTGGGGACTGGACCTTACATCTAGGAGGGGATCAGTACATAGATGATTAGAGGAAGGCTCCAACAGAGGACCGGACCACTCAATGAGATTAGATATAATATATATTTATGGACTGTCTGTCTGCTGCGGCTCTCCACTGACAGCAATTTCACCACTTTGTAGCTGCTGTTTTGTCCTGGTCAGCGTCAAGAAGTGTCAGTAATTGATGTCTGAATAAAAATAAAGCAGCCTACTCTGCGTCATTCCAATCCATTTCACAAGGACAGAGTAATCAGCCAGTAAGAGTTGGTTAAAGCCACAACTGATCTTGGAATACCATGGCAAAGGAGGCAGGATCACTTCTTCTGCAGGTACTATCCAGTCGATCACCACAGGTTTCAACAACTTGGTGTCTTCACCTCGAGCAGCAGATGCCCCCTTACCAATCTGCCTGTTAAGTACTAAGAATGTTTGATAGATATGAGTGACTCACTAGTTCTCCAATGTAAAGAACTTCTTCCTCTGAGCCTTCTCACAGTCGCTCTAGAATCCAGGGTATGAGTCTAAGAGTCTTTCAAAGACTAGGTGCTCTCACCGCTCTCTAACAACTGTGTCAGATTATTGTGAGTAAGAATTAAAACAGTATTAACTCAGCAAAAAAATCTTCTATGGATGCATCCTCCAGTTGTTCCAATCATAATATACCATTGGTTAATAGGGAAGGGTAGTTGCAGAGAGCAAAAACTGTCTGGCAAAAATGCCTCCCATGTGAAACTAAGGGATCAGATTTCAACCTAAAATGCACGGTTAGGCCAGAGAATTTGAGTGATTTAAAAACTCATGCTCTCTTGTGAGATTTATTTGAGGATGAATTATTATTGTCCATATTGACGACTCACAGGTATACCAGATAGAATGATTTACTTATACATGATTAGTAGAGGCACAGCCTCATCCCAATAACGAGATATCATGTTGGCACTATTTAATTATGTCAGTAACATCGATAAATATTTTGACAGAAAAGGATTTCTATAGGCCGCAGGTTTCAAGCTCGCAGATCAAAATTTTAACCCACCACTGCACCGTCGCCAAGCATGGTTTGTAAGATGGAAGACTTCTCACACCCTCCATTGCACCATTATCAATCAACTCACACCTTATCAGATTGTGAGTACTTAAGCTTGTAGTTTCTTGCTGGGTGTCAGGCTGAAATGCAGACCCATATGACCCAGATCTAACATAATGACCAAACTTGTGATTCTGGTGGTACCAGACCCAGGGCGAAAGAAGACCCATTTACAACTGCAATGACAGACCTATACTGATTTGGTGTTGATTCCTCTACCTAACCCAGAGGGTGACTACCTATTGGGGAATGAAGACCTTGATGGTCTGATCTTTGCAGCTACAATCCAGCAGTCCCATGGTAGACTCAGAGAAGTTCCTGAAGGATACAAGATGGTGCATATCAATGAAGTGGCAAGTAAGTGGTAGTAATATCTATGACAGGCATCATGTTCCTGACTCTAATTATGATGGGTTAGTTATTAATGTGGCACACAATTGATATGTCACCTAAGAACTCACTGCAGGCATGCTACATGAATCTTAACATGTTCACTGAAATCATTTACATGCACCTAGATAAGCTTCAGGACACCATGCAAAGCTTTGCTTCTATATGGGAAGGTTTGGATTTGACCAAAAATTACAGGTGAATCCATCACTTAAGTTAAGTTGAATGGGTTGATTCAGATCTTAGTGGAAGACAGAGAGGCTCCAGTTTTGTTCTGTCCTTCCAACTCCTCAAGGGTTCAGGGAGATTCAACTCTATGTTGCACATTCAAGAAATACATGTGGGCCCTGCGCAGGTTGGAAGGCATGCTACTGATGTGGCCTGGCATCTTAAAGTGCTAGGCTGCATCCCATAATTACAATGTCATTAGTGTTACGCACTCAAATAGATCTGTTATGCGGAGCCCTGAGAGAGGCATCGTCCGCTAACGTTCGTGACGTAACCGGAAGGGTCCGGTGTAGCGACTGAGACTGGCGACGACGAGTCGGCAGATATCAGAGACGCGCGTGTCATGTGACTTCTAAGACGGCTGTCTTCAAAGTCACTGACGTTCTCAAGGTAAGGACAGTCTTGTCCGAACGATGAGTAGTCGATCAAGGTAGACTTAGGCGCGATGAGCACCTAAGAAAAGATACTAGAGACTGAAGCTGAGGGGGCTTCAGAGGGAAGTATGTTCCAGGGAAGATTGAGTAGATTCAAGTTAGGGAATCTAGTACAGGGTGACCGACTACTTATACTAAGTGGAAAGGGTTAAGGGCAAGGCTACCGTACTGTAGGTAAGGGCAAAGGGGAAACGGAAAGGGTATAGGTACGCTGGTAGCAGAGCCTGATTAGTGATGTGAGGTCGAATGCGGAATGAGACCGAGAAACGTTGGAACGAGCCAATGGTAAATGATACAATGCGCAGCATGCATAAGTCAGAGGAAAGATAAGACAAGATAAGGAAAGCCACATTGGTGGCACGAGTCAGAACGAGTCATAGCCCAAAGGCACGTGCACACGTTGGTGCGATAGGAGGGGGATGAGGGACAGGAACGGTCCCGAGGATCCGGTCAATGGATAAAGAAGTACGAGCCGGAGGCATACGAGGGCGAGGACGAAGGGAAAAAATGATAGGGGGGCCATGTAGCCGATGTTACTTGTAACAATTAGCTTGTTGGATTCTATTGCTAGGAATGCCACCAAATCTCATTGTTCAGTGACACAGCTAATTGGGAATCAAAAGATGCTCAATGAAACAGAAAAACATGGGGAATATTGATTGCTCATGCAACTATATGTCCTGGAGTGGAATGAGGTAGGCCAGTGGCATTGTCTCATGGTTAATCAGAATATTTTCTGTATTTTCAATCACCCTGGATCTTTCACACTGGCCAACCACAATTCTCCTGTCTTGGTTTACAGTCTGTAGGAGGATAGATGGAGTTTAGAGGAACTAGGCCTGTAGGAGTCTATGCTTCCATCCTTGTCAATTGCATTGACTTATTTGTTCAGACTTAGAAAAAACAATCTGGATAAATGCAATTTCATGATTTGTAAGGGTGGAATGCAGGTAGAAATATCCAAGGCTCAGACAGAAATACAGGATGGCTGTCTTCATCCTAGGAGAGGAAGCAATGTTGGGTTGTCAGGGCCTTATAAACAGGTTACAGCCATCTTTCTGTCATCACTGATCCTGAAAGCTGGGAGCTCCATTACTTCATAACAGGTATCTCAAGAGGCCCAGATATGATGTTGTATGGCTCAGTCAATGCCAACACTATCCAGAGATATGCATTAGAGTATGCATATTTCTTTGAATGCTGGATTAGTCTACATGATCACGTCCCAACTGCACTTTGCCTGCTTTCCAACTGTAAGTTATAACCGAGTCTCATTCTGTAGTATCACATGATCCTAGCATATATTTATAGTATTGACTTATCCTGGACTAATGCTTCAAAAGCATCCTATGCTCTAAACCAAACTGTCTGTATCCCATAGGATGGTTGCAATCCAAAGCCAAACAACAGTCTCATACCAAAAGGTTTCACAGTGCCATTAGCATCACTTGAAATGGAGAGTCATGTAGGTTATCCATAATTATTTCAACCACACATGTTTACTCCTGCTTTCACAGTACACATAGACAGGTCATCAGACAGTTTATTGCACTGTCCATATAAACAACTCGATCACTTGCACTTTAATTACTACAAGGGAACAGATATGGAAGATAGAAGTCGGTGATGGAAATGATTGGTGTGATAGGTCCAAGTCCAGAATGTGGGATATGATATAATTAGCAAAAAGGTGCCCTTAGTCTAGAGTTGGTTGTGCTCCAACATTAGGAAATGTGTAGAGTAAGAGCCATTAGACTTGCACTCATTTGATTTGAGCAAGAATGACATAATGCTTATAGCCCTGAACTTCTCAAACCGTGTCATACTAAGAAAGCTTATTGATAATTTGTGGTAGACATGGCCACTGAAAAGAAACACTGTCATCTTCAGTGACAGTGGCTTAGGGAAAAGTTCAGTTATAAATGCAATTGCGCAATCACAACAAGAAAAGACATCCATTAGTGCAACCAGAAGCAATATATTGCCAGTCATAACTAATAAAAAAAGAAGAAATTCCAGTACACAGTCTTTGACATCTTTGAGGCTATAATGGTCTTCATCAAGGACTTTCTGAGCTTGTGTGATGAAGTAGTTGTCGGGAGTGTGCTGGCCCCATGGTATCTGCAACACAGGTGTCAAGTAGGAAACAGGAAAGCATAGTTAAATATGCACCCTGAGTAAGCCATTTGAGATAATTATTGAGCTGGGAGTAGGAATTGGCTATGGAGATGGTGGTGGTAGATTGGAACTGTCACTACTATCTCCACTGGAGGAAGAAGACCATGAGAGTGATGACTGGATAGAGGAGCCTGCTGGATTTTGGTCATCATGTGTTCATGTCAATTTAAGTCTAGTCAATGAAACCAGCGATCTGGATATACTCTGACATATGAAGTAACTGAATGCCCTGAAGGACACCATTGGAAATGAGATGTGTGCTGTGGCTAGGCTTAATACACCATGCCACCTTCTCCTGCTCAGTATTGCTGATAATGGAGTTGGGAATGAAAGGTGCGCACAAGCAGAAATAAGAAAAATAAGAAAAGTCAAAAATCATTATTATGAGCATTATAAGGGTGTGATGTTTGCAAATGACACACTGTCGATGGGGTTCATCATTGAGGTGTGGCACGTGGAATTCTGGTTCTCAGTGGTAGAGCTACAGATGTTGTAACCAACATGAGGGTTACAATAGCAACAGTGTTGTACTTGACCTGGAGGGCTCAGGAAAGTGGCACCTGAGTCCTGTGTGAATACAGTATGCAATGAAAGGGAAATTGAAACTCACAATTCCTGACGGGTAAGCATAGGCTTTGTCGACAAGGGGGTTTGGGTCAGCTGGGGCAAGGGCAAATTATGGCATGTAGCAATGACCGAAAGTATGGAAAGAGTGGAATAAGACATGTCTCAAAGATTGATGGTGGTGAGAGCAGAAGGAAGACAAAGAACACTTGTGTTGTTGCAATCAGTTAAGTGTTGGTGATATAAGGAGTGAAAGATGATTGAGTAACAATAAGAATATGACTAAACATAATGTGCAAATATGTGGATAAATGAATGTCATTTTTGTCATTTAGCTGTATATAAAAAATGTGAATATAAGGAGATCAAAATATATATGTAGATTAGAGTGATTGGTTTGAAGAACAGAAGATGAAATGAAAATGTATGTGTATGACAGAGAATTCAAACCATGCCAAACTCTAGAAACATCAGTGCAGCTGATATAATGACTGGCTATCCTGATGGTTCCATTTAGGGCCACTTTGCACATCTCGTTAGGAGCTAGTGAAGTAGTCACATCCCAGAGTAGGGTGAGCGTTCATAATCAGTGTATTTGGTGCAAACAATCTGTGAGTAATGCCCAATGTAACTATAGCCCCCATTCTTGAAATTAGACTGATTGTCCTGCAATGTTGGCGACAAGGAGGTAGATTATATTGTGCTGCTCAAACATCAGCTACATAATTGCACTACTGGAACCTAGAGAAATGTTTGATGGGGCTTGCACATGTTTGTTGATACTGAATGGGGCATGATTTGGCATCCGACTGCATGGACCCATCATTGGAAAAGGTCCTAAGTTTGGGTGTAAATCCCTAGTGGCACTGGTATATCATATGTGAATGTAGGCAGAGGATATGGCCTCCGATAATTAGGAGGTTGAGCTGGGAGCAAAGAGCAGCCTATATGGGGGTCAAAGCTTATTCACCTTGAGCCACAAACATGTATGGGCTCCGGTACAAGTCACTGTGTGAACAATTTAATGATAACACAAGAGGAAAATGTCTCAGAGCATCGGCATATTTGCACTACATATACTAGGCTTTTTCAAAGAAGTCCAGAACAAATTCTACCCTCCCCCAAATGATAGTGGGTGTCAGGTCCTACCCACATACAAAAAATGATGCGGCAGTGGTTCTCCAATGTCCTATTTTCCTGGGCGCAGGTTACTTATCATATCAAACAGATAAGTCCTCCAGGTCCTTCCTATAGTAGTAGGTCTACCCCCTGAACTAGTGTAAGTTCTATTCAGTCTTCTCTGCATTTGCTGCTTATTCACACTCAGTCCCCTAGATGAGGGTCAGATGGCCTGGCACCAGACCACCAAGGATTGTCCATGGCCAGGTATACATCTCAGTACCCCATGTGCCTCAGTGTCACAGGGTGGGGTACTGATTCCTCTATGCCATGACTCTAAGGAACAGAGTGTCTATTTCTTTCTAGTCATTGGCATCCAACTCCGAACCTATCCACGGCTCTAATTGAGGACCAGATATAAGTTTGAGCCAGTGGTATTGCTCTCATTGGGAACTGGACATCTCAGGAGTCTCAGTATGCTTACATCTGAACTTATAAACTTATAAGACATATGATATTGTCCAATGGCTCCAGCTGAGGACTGAACCTCTGGGGTAGGTGGTTAGTTGGTTGATGATATGCCTCAGCCTATGGTATGGCACCCATTGGAGACCGCATATATGTTATCCGTGATGATATCTGCCTGCATGATGTCACAGCTCCCATTGAGGACCGCACTTGCATTGACCAAGTGTATTAATCATACATGTACTTATTGGACGGCACCCATTGGGGACCCGCATATATGTCATCCATGATGATATTTGCCTGCATGATGTCATGGCTCCCATTGGGGACCGCACTTGCATTGACCAGTGTATTAGAGTCTGTTCAGGCACCCTTATTTATGCAAATTAGGATCTGACTCATACAAACTTTTGGCTTAGGTGATGGTTGGAACTTCAATGAGATTGTCACGCTGATAATGTCTACTACTAGTGTACTACCAGCACAATGCCTCATAACAATCCTGATTGCAACACAGACTCAGTTGATTACGACCCTGCCCAGACCGAGGCAGAAGACATACCGGACGATGGGTCTGGTAACACAGAGGAGGATGTTCAAAGGTACCTATCATGGATTATGTATGCCACCATCAAGCTCTGCGCATGGTGATCACAGTGGTCAATGCAACAACAACTGAAATCGAGGCCTATTCCAATACACACTATAATAAACAGCCATATCACACTTCTGCCTTATCAGGGACTGCCTGGGTCACTGAGTTACTCACTGGACATCCAGAATGCATCTGATGCGAGCTCGGAGTTCGCAAGCACGTATTCTATGTCCTTATCAATCTGCTTCGACAAGCAGGATGCAGAGACTCAAAGCATGTGCCCCTGGAGGAGCAGCTCGTGATATTCCTGTATGCGTCTGTTACAGGTCTCTCAATTCGTCACATTGGTGAACACTTTCAGCGATCAAACGAGATGATTTCCAAGTACATACACTGCTGCTTTCCTGCAACTCACTAACACAATGTTTTTTCAAGATATTTCAAACAGATTCTCTTCACATTCTCTTCCCCACCAATATATACCACATATGTCCGACTCCCTGATGCGGACAGCCCTCCTCCTGTCGAAATTGTTCGAAACCCAAAGTTCTTTCCATTTTTGCACATGCTATCGGTGCTATTGATGGCACACACATTGTGTGCCATCCTTTCAGCGAGGATCACCATGCTGCCCAGGACCGCAAGGGCAATTTCTCCCAAAACTGCCTTGCCGTGTGTTCCTTCAATTTATCCTTCACTTACATGCTGGGCAGCTGGGGAGGATCCACTTCAGATGCCTGTCTCTACCATGATGCCTGCACTACTGACTTCACCATCCCTGAGGGAAAATACTACCTTGCTGATGCTGGATTTGGCTCATGTGACGAGCTACTAGTCCCATATTGGGGTGTGCACTACCATCTTGCAGAATGGGGTCGGGCCAATCTTTTGTAAGTGTGTTCCACGAGTGTCAGTACATATACTTATGTTCACATTGTTATATAGACCTCGCAACTGCAAAGAGCTATTTAATTTATGTCACGCCATGCTCTGAAACGTTGTTGAGCGCATCTTTGGTGTTGTCAAGCGCTGGTTCCACATACTTCTCCTTCCGCCAGAGTCTGCCATGGGAATCCAAGTACACATCCCTCCTGCATTGTGCCTCGTGGATAACGTCATCCGAGTTCATGATCTGAACGACATGATGGAGTATCACAACATGTTAGATGAGTACCTCCTCACTGATACCAGAAGCTTTGCTGATAGTCCTCCTACTGAACAAGCACGTTCTCATGCAAACCTTCGTCGTGACCATATCGCTGCCGAGATGTGGGAAGCTTACAATGAGGAAAGAGTTCAGAGGGGCGCACAAGCAATCATAGAAACATTATCATAGTTGTACGTCGAAATGCGGTGATATTACATTGAGCTATTGAATGCTAGTATCGTGGCGCGCTACTACTTTGAGTGCTGGTCCAAAAACAACTTTCTAAGACTAGGTTTTTCAATAGCGAGATAGATGTCAACAATGGCAATGTCACTCTGAAACTTATTCAATACATTGAGCAACTGATAATCCTCCAAGTCCTCAGTCTGCAATTGCGCCACTGCCTTCTGCCTACATAAGGGAATAGGATCCACACATTGTGCGGAGGCATTTGAGGCGTTGGCCTCAAAAGCATGAGTCACACGCTCAAACATTGAATTGAGGCCTCGAATATCAGACCCCATCTGCTGGAGGGCCAATGGCATTGACAGGTGTGCTGACTTTCCTGAATCTCTGGACTTCGTTGAATATGCAGGACGGACAACAGCGAGTGTACTATCGTTGTGTCATCGATAGCTTTCCGTTTGCCAGAAGCAGTCGATGATGGCGCACTAGGGAAAATGGATGCATCAAGTGGGAGTTGGTGTGAAGCACCAAAGATTGAGGGCCCTGCGGCATTGGTATTGCCAGTAGGGCCCATTTGAGGATCTGAGTCAGCGACAACAGTCGCGCGCTCAGGACCAGCCTGCACTGTGGTACTAAACTCGAGCCCATCAAGGGCATCATCAAGATCCGACATGTGGACTTCATTGAAAGAGGAAAAGGCGACTGCATTGTTGTTAGAGTGTGAGGGAATGTTGGCAATGTTCGAGTTAGAGCGCTACGTGATGCCAGTGGCGAAAAAGGAGTGGTTGTTCGCAGTTTTGATGAGACCCTTCAATGAGTTGTAGTGCTTCCACCCTTTGTCCTTGAGGCTCTCGGCTTTGGGGTTTTCTATTGGTATGTAGTACTATTAGCATAGCGCTGTGCAGAGTCGAATCGCCATACCTTGACAAAGTCTGCCCACATACTTTCTGACTCTGCAGTAATCGAGGCTCCATTCTCCAAGCTGTAAGACAATCCAGATGCGTTAGCCACTTTGTGGACTACGCCGTATAGACTTCGGAGCTAGAAGTCCATCAGTGAAGGTTTGACTGATCGAGAGTGAGATAGCATGCACCCGTGCCCATTTTGATTGACATGCAATTAGTGTCTTGGGTGCACCTGAGCAGGTATGGTTTGCCATGCTATCAGCAATAGAGACCCAGAATGTCTTGTCAAAGTTCATGCCATCCCCACCTTTGGGGTGGTTGGCAGTGATATACTCGATGAGTAAAGTCTCATCTGTTTCGGTCCA